TTTTATTTTTATTATGCCTGAATGAGTTATTTCTTGAAAAACTTAACGAACCCGATCATATCTTCCCGATGCAGTAGTGAATTCGGATGGCAAGTTTCAGTAAGTGGAGTACAGGAGCTTCTCTCCAATTGGCATTGAGACTTTTTAATTATAAATTTAACATCATTGAAAGGCTTTCACATCAGCCATCCATAGTTTTGAACTCAAGACGCTTGACCACTTGAATTGGGTGGAAAACAGACTGGTTTTAGAATCAAGGCTAAACTAGGCTTATTACGTCATGGTTTTCCACTTCGAAGGAAAAGTTGGTTGGAAGCAACTCGTGAAATGGTTTCACCAGATACTGAATGAGTGCCGCGGAGTGAAGATTGTTGGATTGTGCGCACAAGTCCTCAGCCTACCGTCCCTTGGCTCCGGTGAACTTGTGCTAAGTTTTTATCTGTATCTCCTTTAATGTCAGCATTAAATCAAGAATCGGCACCTTATCAAACAGCGCACCAACATACTAAGCCAATACACCAAAACTTTTCTCTATGTTTAGTATATTTTTCATCTATTTCGTAGAGTATGGATTCTTGCTCTGAGGATGTCTGTCATGGCGGTACAGACAAGAGCTTAGCACAGGTTCATCGGGCTCTCAGGATGGTGATCCGAGAGCAATTATCTTTTGTTTTTTGATGAGACCATTTCACGAATTCTTTCCAACCAACTTTTCCTTGAAAATGGAAAATCATGTCACAATAAATCACAAAGTAATTCTTTAAAACACAGTTTGATGCTGTTTGATGCATGAATCAGGAAGAAAATGCTGAGTTAACAATTCTGCTCGTCATTGGCCTACACATTTACCTCAGACTTCACCACCGTCTCTACTCATAATTCAACCTGCAAACGGATGGTTGTTATGCTATTTTTTTTTGGTTGTATTTCTTGCTTTTAACAGAAAGCCAATCGACGACCGGATGCATCAATCTGCTACCGGCTCTCTATTCGGTAATCTGGAAGTCAACAATGAGGTAAGCTATAAACATTTTCTACAACTGCATGGCACTAGGCTAAACTAGAGATTGCGATAGTATTGCTCATTTGGAGGGGACAGAGCAAATTACGGAAAATTCTGTGAGTAGGAAATACATAAAATAAAAATCCTAAACCGTTAAAGTGAGCTAACGGTAAAATTATTTAAATATAATAAAATAATTATATAAAGCTATACTATATACAAGTGTAGCTAGTCAGCTTTTTAATCGAAGAAACTAACACTAATTTAATTAAATAACAAAGTGCTTTTTCAAGGAAAAAATTTTTTGTAGACTCCGCTTCTTAAAATTATGATTACTAGTTTGGTCGCAGTCGGCCTTCGCTGTATAAAGTTGGTTTGGCCTCGTTTTTCTTAACCTTCTGCCATTTTTGTCATGCCCTCTTTCAGCCTTGGATGGACAAGAACTTAGTCACCCAAGCTGGCCTAAGGCGATTAAAATGTATCATTATAGAGTATGAGCTGTAGTTCCGAAAATGGATAAGAATATCTTTTTTGGGAAGCAAGGTTAAGTGAAATTCATTGATGCCGTGAGGCCGACTCATCAGCTCATAGTGAAACTTTACTATCAATCCTCTTAATCGCTTTAGGCAATATTAGGTGACCTACTTCATGTTCAAGAATTACTGATATCCTTGAAACCGAATTGTATCGAAAAGTGAATAGATACATTTCCAGACTTTAGGTCGGCTTCGTAGTCAGCAGCTTCAGGGAGACGAGTCACTATTTATTCAAGGCTGAGTCCCGTCAGCGAGATTCTCTTGAATTGCTTCGAGATTTGGTTACATGAAGTGGAAATGAGGGATAAGGGTGCATTGCTATGAGGTGGGAAATGGAATTTAGTTTTCGTTTTCATCAATTATGTCTCGATGTTTTTGGCTGATACTGCTGATTGACTACATTGACGGCGATACACTTTGCAATGTACTTGGTCAACTCCCCTATAATGGTAGAAGGCAGGAAAGCAATTGCGAAATCTCCTGGAAAGCAGGACTATTTTGCGAAAGCAAGTTTAAACTCTCCTAGTATTAAGGTTGTTTGACCTTTTTTTCGCAACATGGTCATATTGGTAGTAGAACT